TCCTCAGGGAGGATGCCTTTGGCATAGCAGTCTTCTATTACCCCTCTTATCCTCTCTTTTTCCTCCTCCGAAGGAGGGCCAGGGTTTGGCGGTGAAAGGCGCTTACAAAGTTAGCGCAGGTCTATTGTGTTATAGCTCGGTGGACTAAGTCTCTATCTGCCAGACAGGTGTCACTCAGACTGCCCGCTGCTACCCCGGCTGCGGGCTCAACCGGCTGCTAAGCTGTATACTTACGTTGAGAAGACCGATTCAGGGGACACGCTAATTGGCCAATCTCCATGTGACTAGTGTCGTCCCCCAGTCTGGAATGGTTTAAACCTCATCTTGCCTTCTCGACAGAAGAAGAAGGCGTGTGTAGGCACGCTTATCCTTTTCCAGTAAGGAGCGGACCGCTGGCTGTGACGATGCTTCGATGAGTTTGCTCGGATGGTGAAAATTCTTCGTTCACCCGTGTGAGCAGCTACACGAGAGCTTGGAGAGGGACTACCGGCCACCCCTGCTCCAGCCAGCGGACGAGGAGGACTTGCGGGTACCGTGGTTAATCAGAGAGGAGAGGCAGACAATTCCGGGGAGAGAGTCCGTAAGTAGATTAATAGGACATTTTGACGCAGGGAGAGAGGTAATTGATTATTACTCTGCCGTACACCTGGTAATATACTTACTGGATCTTTCCTTTGTGAGAACCCACATGTTACCCGAGCTTCCCGTCATACTGGCCCGAGGGATGGGAGAATGGATCCCAAAGATGGAAACAGATTACCTCGTGATTGATTTCTCTCTGTCTTGGTAGGTGGCCAGGATAACTCCGTGAAGCTTGTGGAGCCGGAGCTTTGAAGACGCTGCGAGTACTAAGCTGAGTAGGGCAGGAGCCTGGGAGGTGGAACAGCATGAAACTTCGCCTAGCTATGGTGGAGGACACGCTTACTAAGCAGGAAGCTCATGTCTCGGGCTGAATCCTTCCCGCGCCATCGGAAGGTGATGGAGGGAGAGGAAAAAACCTAATTCACCGTGAGGTAAAAATTCCCGAAGTGAAAAACTGGTCCCCATTGGAATTAGCGCTGGATTAGGGCTACCGGCCCTTCTCCCGAGCCTCTTTTTTTGGATGCGCCTCTTTTTTTGGACGCGCCTCTGTTTTTGGATGCGCAATTGGCCCGCCCCTGGAATACCGAACCATTGCGGGCGTTAGGCCTGCAGTGGCAGCCATGTGCATCGCATTTGCACCATTCCTCCATGTTTTTTTTCAAATTTCTTATATAAGCAGATGAAACCAAGCCACCGCCTAAGTTAGGATCTCAACCGCCCTGCCCACCTCTTGTAGGCCAAACCGGGTTAACCACAGCCATAGGGACATGACTTTTTCCTTTTATTCCCAAAAAAACGAGATGAGAGCGGGAGAAAAAAAAAAAAAAAAAAGGAGCAAAATATCGCCAAAGTTGGGAAACCCCATTTGCATGTGGAGACCGAGTCGTAGGAACGGTAGGAAGCAAATGCCAAACCGCAGGTGGCGACGCGCAGAAGGCAAATCATGCCATGGGGAGAGTAAGCAGCAGGCACGGGGAGATCGAGCCGCAGGCAGGAGGAGAATGAACCACAGGCACGGGGAGAACGAGCCGCAGCCAAGGGGGAAAGCCAAATGCCAAACTGCAAGTGGAAAGGGAGGAAAGGCAAGGTAGGCGTGGGAAGAACGGTAGATGGTGGGAACACAGCAGAACTTCCAGTCGAACTCAGTTCTAGTGAAAGTCTGAGTTGCCCGGGAGCTTGTGACATGGGCGCCGTGTTAAGGCTTCTGCTGGGATTTTGGAATCCGCCACTCTCATGACAGTCCCAATTCCAAAAACTAACCACTTCGACAAATCTGCCCAGTAGCGTCTTCTCCGAGGAGGAAGGTGCTTCCCCGAATAGGATAGAGCATTAAACGACCGTGCTTTTGCCCGCGCAGATGTAACCCCCGAGACATGTACACCCGCCCTTGTGTACCGGCACGTGCGCCAAATTCGTTCGGACGAGTTCACTAGTCCTTCAACTGGAGTTTGGGGGCCTACAGTGTAGTTGCACCACCCGCCATCGGCCAACATTTTGCACGCATCGGGACAAATACTCTGTTCAGATTCATTCAAAATGTTGGCGGACGGCGACCGGTGCAACTAGGCCCTTGGTTCTGGATAACGATACTCCCCACGTAGTCTTTCTCTTCTCCATTTTGTGCCTTGCTCACTCCTGGCGAAGGGACCCATTCTTATTCTCCCTCTTATGTATTTTGAAAAACAACGACTCCAAAAAAAACGCTCTTTCGGTTCAATAACAAAACCGCTCTTCTCGTCAAACACCAAAAATGCTCCTTTACTTCAATAACAAACACGCTTTTCTAGTTTAGATAACAAAAACGCTTTTTTAGTTTAGATAACAAAAACGCTTTTTTAGTTTAGATAAAAAAAACGCTTCGATGTCATGCAATTCGAGGTCAGGGCTGCAGTGCGTAGTGAGGCCTGCAGTTTGAGCGAGCGGAAAAAGGAATTTGAACCCTCAGGGCCCCAAGTGTGTCGTACGGCCTGCAGTTTGAGGTCAGGGGTGCAGCGTACATCATTCTGCGTACCAGCAGAAGGTACACAAAAAGGCAAAAAAAATCAAACATTAGGAAATTTTACAAAATCGGCTACTACTCTTCCTTCAATGTTGAGCAGTCTGAGAGATACATGAATTGTCAACGGACAATTCTGGCCATTATCCGACCATGGGAACTAGCAAACTAAGAGTTACAAACCCGAATATTACTGGTAAGTATTTCATTCAATTTAGATTGTAAGTGAAAAGCCAGGACAGGCACAAGTGCGAAGCCAGGACAGGCACAAGTGCGAACTTACGGACAAGTACATAGATCAATTAGTCAAATTGGTCATAATAGCAACGCGAGAAGACAGGGGAGAAACAGAGAAGGAGACAAGGGCACAAACAGACGGGCAGGCATAGGAAAAAATAGATTAGTTACACATGCAAAAGGAGGTCGGTTCTCCCGTGCGATAATGGCTCGGATTCTAACAGGCCGAGTGCTGATCGTCGGGTACACCAGAAGGCCTACCGTTTACTAATAGCATGTTGTTTACCATTCTCCGTTGTTTTTGCCCCAATTACACCGAGCATGCGCAGAGTGAGTGAATCGGGCGCATATATACATGTCAAGGTCAGCACGAGTCCATTCAGAGCACCAATTTGAAAGGAGATTCAGGACACATATAGAGCATGAACGCAAGAGGGGCGAAGGCGGAGGGGTAGGGGAACAGGGGAAGAAGAATAAGAAGAAGACAAGCCTGCTGATTCAAACATTATTACTTATGTAAAGAAAATACAGACAAATCAAGACAATCTCCCAACAAACCGTGACGTCTTCTAGGCCAAAACTTTCCATGACAAAGCCCGCCTAAGTCACTGCGAAACAGAGCCGAGGCGTCGGATGTATATCCCCAGGTTCCGACCAATCTAACGGCGTCAATCGTTTCTTACATGGAGTAACGATCGAGGAAGAAAGAGGAGAAAAAGAAAAAAGGCCTACCGACCCGCTCAGAACGAGCTCGTAACCACCAACACCTGGAAACTGTCGGACAAGAAGAGAGAGAGGAAAAGTGAGAAAGGGGAGGCAAGGGGAGAGAGGGGGAGGAAAGGGGAGAGAGGGG